TCTACCCATTACAAAAGAAGCTATGACTAATGAGACCTGTTTCATTTAGTTCATGTATGGAGATTGTTTGCATTTTTAATGAACAAAAAAGTTATTTGCTCATGAAGTGATACTAACCTATGGTTCCTAAAACTGCAGGGAGATGGAAGCAAAATGACAGGGATCTTAAAAATCTGGCTATCATCCTTTTTCCTGGAAAGGCTGAAACATCTTGTTCTACATACAGCCTGGATATGCCATTGCCCTGAGGGAAAGATGTGGGACTGGAGTCATCTTCTCCTGTGCACTCAAGTGTCCAACCAAATTCAGAGATGTCCTTGCTACTGTTGTTCTCTCCAAGCTATCACGCTTTTGCAAAATGCTTTTTCTTCCATGTTGGTAGACCAACCAAGTGTGAATTACTCTGGGAACCTCCAGAGCGGGACACATAAGAAAATACTTCTGATAGCTAAGGCTGGAAGCAGAAAGCAGTTATCTGTTGTATTGTGCTTGCTTAAGTCAGCAGCTCCATTAAATGCATCTTTGCCCCAAGGACTGAACCATTAGGTAATGCCACCTACTGATTGTGCTGATCAGTATGCTGATTGTCATCAGTTCCTGAGTGTTTCCAAAGATACCCCAAAGCCAAGGCTTATGTAAGACAAAGCATTTCAGTCCCTCTCCTGAAAGTGGAGGTCAGTGCAGTGTGCTGTGGCAGTGTGGACCTGGCACATAAAATAGATGCCCTGAATGTTTGAGCTCTTCAGCTCCTATACAGGGACTAAAACTCCATTGACATCAAGAGGCAAATGGGCTGCTCATAGTGACGAGGGCAAACAAGGTCCCACCGATGCTGCCTGAGCTGCCAGCTACGACACTAGTGAGGCGGTGGTGGCATGCTTGCTGTCCTCGACGGCACTGAGCACAAATAATTTTGGAGACTCCACATCGTGAAAGGGATGCTGTCCTGTTCCGTGATGGATTTTAAAGACAAATCTGTGTCTGCATTTTGAAAGTTTAAAAATCTTCTGTGATTAGGCTAATTGCTTGAAAAAAATTCAGCACTCTACTGAATGTGAAGCAGTAGAGGCATGAAAACTGTTCTCTTATTAAACACAGGACACAACTGCTAGTCAAGTTATCCTTCATGGATACTGCTCTCATCTGAAACATGCTTCCTCCACTGCATACAAAGGTTCAGTCTTCTTTATCCTTCTGACTGTACTGCTAGTACTATTTATCTGCAGGACCCTGAAGTTAAGAGAAGGAATCTCTCTGTTTCTAATGAATTCTGCACTGGGACTTTTGGGAGGGAAAGCTTAAATAAATAGATTATTTAATTTAGCAAATCAAATAGCTTTAGGAAACAGGATGCCCCCTTTATAAAAGGTGTCATGAAAAAGATCTTTTACTCTTGTCTTATTCTTATTGAATAAAGAGACTAAAAATAAATTCTCAAATCAAAGGTAGCCAATATATTCCTTATTGCTAACTGTGCTTTCACTTTTCTAAAGAAATACTCTAGCCATCCTTTCATATCTCCTACTCAGTTTCTAGAGAAAAAGCAGTCAATTCTGCATTATCTCAGTAGGACAGTTTTAATTTTAACACTATCTGCCATGATCTTTCTTTGTCCAGTTAACATTTCCTTGACCCAGAGTTCAACCCCTTTTACAAAGTAACCTCAGGCTTTGATAGCAGTAATTCTACCTTCACCCCAACTGATCCTGAATACATAACCTGAAGGCTCAAAAGAGAAGATTAGCAGACCTTACCCTAATTACTTGTTATTGTGTAGTTGTTAAAAAAGATTTTGGCTCCAGAAAATGAGGCTGAAGCCAGACAGAAGTTAGCCTGGGGTTCAAAAGTCTAGCAATCTTTGGCTCCACAGGCCTATAAAAGCAAAGTGTTGACTGAATGCAAACAGCCTGCCTTTTGAGGGGCCCCAGCAGAGGGAATGACAGCAGGCCATCCGTCATGAGCAACAGCGGGGGTCGCAGAAGTTCCTCTAATGACTCCTCACTGGCCTGTTAATGGATAGCTCCATTTGATTTCTCCTCCAGTGAGAATGTCAAGACTTTGTGAAGTCTGCAACACATAGACCTTTTCTTGCACTCTCTTCTCTGGGAATTTCGGAAAGGATGAGACAGATCGGATACACAGTTGGGAAAGGGTGCAGTAGGCTCTTAACAGTATAATAATCTTTCCTAGGTGCTTGGTTTTGGTTATTGTACTGATCACTTATCAGCAATTTATGAGGGTTGTTGCATCAGGGAGGGATAACTGGTTCCTCTGGTGAAGTGAGAAGTAGTCAGTCAACTCCTCACTTTCAAGCATTAAATGTTGTGTGGGGTCAAAAGGTTTTGCAAGGAATGCAAAGTTTGGAATATTTTTAATTAAGCTACATCCTTTGAAATTCTTTCAAGTCAATCTTCAAACAATTCAGATCTTAAATCAACACACTTTAAACACACATACACCTCTGGTAAGTGCCTTTATGCAAGCTTTACTGTGTAACACAGAAAGCAATTAATTTAATTTTATATGAGTCATTAAAAAGCTCCACTTGTTTTTGTGTTCTTTCACCATTCACTATATTAATGCTCCTTTCACTGAATAGCTGAATTCCTTATGCTATGTAAAGTTTATGCATCTGTGTTTCAGTGCGTTTACTATCTGAATGTTCCAATGTCTGAAATATAAGGCTGACCAGGGGGTTTGGGAATATCAGTGTTTTGTTAACCTAGACTATGTCTATACCTTTTTTTTTTTTTTTTTTAATAATCTATTTTTATGAAATGCCTGTTTCTTAGAGGGTTACTGATTGGGAGATATTTCTATCATCCTATAAATAGAAGCTTTAGTTAGCATACAAATAACCATACTCGTCATTAGAGTTTAAGACTCCTTTGGAAAGATTTGCTTGCCTAAGAAGATATGGGAGCTGGATGAATTCCACAATAAATTGCATAAAATAACAAAATTAAACCCAACCCAAACATTTAAAATGTACTAAATCCTTGTTAGAAGGTAGCAACCTATTTGGTTTCTGTCATGGCTGTCAGCTTTGGATCTGCACATTTTCTCTGTTATTTTTGTGACTACCACACATGGGACTCAAAGGACTCTGTTAACAAAGACCTTTGATCCCTGGATTAACTCTTCTAACACTCTTCTTAAACAACTAGGAAAATAAAATTATTACCTCATTATCTATTTTGGCCTGTATCTATAACTGGCCTCTGAACGGAAGGACTGGAGGAGCCATGTGACTCTCCTGAGTGAAAGTTGATTGCGAGGAATCACACCTATCAGTGTGAATAGTTCAAATTCCAGTCTTAAGCCTAAAGCGAGTTCAGCAAAGTCATTCTTTTGGGAGCTCTGGCGTCTGCTCTGGTCTCTCTGTGTCTACGTCTGTGCTACAGAGGCAGCTGCCCCAAAGAGTAATTTCTGACCTCAGGCCAAATAGTGCAAGATGACTCCTGTCCACATTGCTGAGGAGCAGCTCTCTTTAGAGCAGCACGGCCCTGTTCTGAGGAGGGCTTGGCCCAAGTCTCCTTTGGTCCTGTACGGCCTCAAGAGATAATCATTACATGACTGTGGTTTACTCATTCGAAGTATGTATTGCCCACTTGGAGTGTGCCATGGCAGTATGTAGGGGATTTGAGGACACAGAGTCTATTGGAATAACATCAGACAACTGACGTGGGCTGAGCGAGTTAAACTTGCTGCAGTCCAAGTCCATTTTGTCTGTCTGGAGCAGAGCCTGGATCAAGCTATTCTGTCAACGACGTCCAGGCTTCCTCTCCAAGGAAACCAGTCATTTCACTTCAGAAGGGAGCCTGCGAGTGAGCTAGCACATATGCAGCATGAATGATGAGAAGATCAGATGCTGACAGCAAACAGGAAGCTGAAATATGTGCCAGCATAGACTTCTGTTGATCTTTCATCTTTCATCCACTGTCTTTCATCCATAGTAAGGTATAGTTCATGTTTTAAAATATCCAGGAGTTATTCAGCTAGGGCCTAGCTTTTTCATCCTCATTATAGTTACTGCATAGATGCAACTATATTCGCTGTCAAACCTGGCCTAATCTGGAATGAAGGTGGTATCTAACGAAACTGTAATGTGGTTATCCTCTGAAAGCTTTGTACCTTTGACATTATACTTTGAGCAAGTTCAGTTCTAAATATGTAGCATATGCTGTTTTGTGAGAAGCAGAATAAGGAAGTCTAACTTCCTATGGATTTTCATCTGACATTCTCACAAGTAAGCATAGTTTCTCTCAAAAGTCCACAACACTTTCCCGCTTCTATCTGTCTCCATTCCTCTCATGTCTGCTAGGCTAGTCCTCATTTATTGCTATTTCCCCTAATTCTCTAATCTATCGTCCCCTTATGTCACTCCACATTCTTTAACTATCAGCTGGGATATCACGGTATTGTATATACTGTGGCATACATGTATGTTGATCAGATAGCTGACGCAAGCTTGATAACTGTCCAGCCAGAAGGTCTTGGTGAGCTCATGTTGAAACTTCTTGCTGAAAAGGTGAATATAAACTAATCTCTTTCCTCTACCAGTCTACTGATTTTCCAAGGCTTGTAGGAAACTTTTTCCTCTCCCTTTTTGTCAGTCTTGATTGTCAACAACTGTCAGTTTTAAAAACCACTGGGGTACGAGGCAAATGATAGAAAAACTGAGATACAAATGGGAAGACAGCACAGACAGAAAAGCTTCATTTCCTCAGGAAATGAGGCTAAAAAGACAGCGGCAGTGAGATTACCTTGGAACTCTGCTGGCATCCAGAGCAGAGAAGGAGATGCCAAACATGGCCAAGCTGTGCTTCAAAGTTGGCTTCTGCCAATTTTCCTCCAAACTCAGGGTGAACAGGAAGCTCCTCTACATACGATTTCTTTATGCTTTTTTTGCCAGACTTGCAAAAGGAATGGCACTGTAGTGTCTGGGAAACACTGATATCATGATCACCAACAGCAACAGACAGAATCAAAATGCTTCAGTCAAGAGGATCCTTGGGTATGTACTAATGTTAAATAAATATGTTAAGCATTATTTACTATTCCAACGTGACTAACACTTCCAGTACTTAACGCACCTAAGGTGATTTAACTGATGATAAAATGTTCAAAGAAACACTGTTTAGATATATATGGTGAAAATCTGTTCTCAATTATGTGCAGCACAAAACCTTTGAAGTCTACAAAGTTCAAACTCTGACACAGTACATACTCAAAACAGTAGCCTCCAGTGACCTCTTTCATTTGCACTTTTAATGAGTATTTTTGTGTAGGCAAAGCTGCAACTACATACATAACTTGGCTTTTGGATTTTACAACTTGAATATATGGCTGGACCAAGGATGTCCAGCACAGGATTTTGATCCTAAGCAGGATTTAAGTGTGTATCTCAGGAGGTTAAATCCAAAATCATGACAGAAAAACCCTTTTGGTAGAAAATCTAGTATGTACTTAGCTCCTTGGCCCCAAACTTTCTTGGTGTCCAAAGCTGTACTTCTATGTTATTCATAGAGAGATCTCTGAGCAAAAGGACCTAAGATAGTCTTTGTAGCAGTAGCCTTGCAGAGCTCTCCTGGAAGGGGTAGGGTGACTTCTAGGACAATGGAGTCATTCCTGCTCTTTCTCCCCAATCTAACTCTTTGCTGCACACTAGCCTGGCTTTGTCAGAAGGAGAGAAGAGTCTTTTTCATCCCAGACTAACAAATAGCCTGAATAGCCTACAATACTCTGTATTCATGCAATCTGACTCTTCAGGGAAAGATATGGCTTTAATTTCCTACAGGAAAAAAAAAAAAAAGGAAAAAAAAATCCTCTAACCACCAGGCCATAATCTAAAAGACAGGTTACTTCTCTAGGGACATCATACAAGGAAAATGTGTGGATTCATCGTATCTGAGGGAGGCAACCTGGGGTGGACCTAAAGGATTTTGAGAGAGCTTTTCCCTCAGGTACCTTAGCTTCCTCCCAAAAAAGGGGAGATTTCAAACACATCCTAATCTTGGTGCTTCTTATTGACTCACTCTACATGACTGCCTCCTAACTGGTCTGTTTAGACTACCTTTTTGAGCCACAGTTTGTGCTGCACAATAGCTACACATTGTACTGAGTGTTCAGGAGTCTAACAAAGTGTCATGTTCCTGAAGGTAAAGCACTGTGATTATAGCTTCATCCCATATCTCTAACAGGTTTGATGTAGCTGTTTAGGCCTGAACTGATGACTTAAGATGAAATTTGAGAAGCCACAGAGAGTATCACATCAGAAAAGCTTCTTGGTGACTTCCACAGGGTAGACAGGCAAAGCAGAAAACTCAAAAACATAGTCAATTGATTACTCTATAAATCAAGGCAATCCAAATCATTCAACAGTAAGGAACATGAGGTCTATAAACAACAGCTCCTCGCCATGAACAAGTTAAATCAATGATAAAGATCTAAAACACGTAGTGCGTCAGAGGTTTCCTTCTTTAAGCTTTCTTGTGTATTTGCCTGTCTCTGTTCTTGCAAAGACCTTTGACAACAGAAGCACAGAAGCAGAATGCTTTTTTTTTTTTTTTTCCAGGACAGCATATGCCTTTATTCAAAGAGTCAAAATTAACAGGCTTGAGTGCCAAAAGTCTTTCTGTAGCCACATCTCCTCTGTGCCACAGAAAGCATTGATGGCTTTTTGTTTGTCATTTCAACTGCATGGACTGGAAATATATGTGGCTTCACTGTGTACTTTCTCCTCCAGGCTTGAATCCCATTGGCCTTTTACAAGCTGGGACCCCTAGTAACCTCAGCTGAAGTTTGTTAGGGTGAAAGAAAAGTGTTATTCAATTGCTAGAATGCTATTCTAGGACTTTGGAGATCTTGCTTGTGATCTGTTCACAATATTTTTTACTTTTTTTTTTTTTTTTCCATAAGTCATTTTTCCCAAAGGAAGGTAACAGTACTTCACAGAACACAAGTGAAGATTAGTACATGAAATTTCTTCAGCAGAAGGGGAAAAAAACAAATGGCATACAAAAAAATGTTGCTGGTATATTAATTGTCCCAACAATCTCCACTCTTGCTTTTACAATTAAACCGGACAGTTGCCTAGCAGAGCTATAGTACTGAACAGAAATCTTGGCAATGTCAGCACATGCACTGAAGAAACACTATTATCTTTGTATTTTCTACCTATATTTTTTTAATGTCCTCAGAAAATAATCTTAGATTCAGTTGTTAGCAAGAGTGAGTCAAAAATGTAAGCTATCCTGCTCTCATTTAGGAGTAGAAGACTTCCTTTAGGACTAGAGAAAACGGTCACAAACTGAAGCGCCAAATGTTCCACAGGAACTTTAGGAAAAATTTCTTACCAGTGAGGGTGATAGAGCACTGGAACTGGTTGCCAAGAGAGGTTGTAGAATCTCCTTCTCTGGAGATCTTCAAAACCCGCTTGGATGCAATCCTGTGTAACATGCTCTAGGTGACCCTGCATGTGCAGGGGGGTTGGATTATAATCTATAAAGGTCCCTTTCAGCCTTAATGATTCTATGACTCTTTTTGCACATACTTTTTCTCTGGTCAAGGCAACAGAGTATATTTATGAAGGCAAATATGGAGTGAAGGCTCAAGGAATGAGAAAATAATTTTCCCATCTCTTCAGTACACTGCATACTGCGAAATACATGGTAAGAGAAAATACTCTGTCAAAGACCACATCTGTTCTTACCTTGTCTCACAAAATGATTTCAAATCTGTTTCTGAATTGTTGCTGCCAGTCAATGGGCTCAGGGGCTTACGTCAAAACTACAGTTGGGCCCCTGAGTGATCAAGGTTCATCCACCTACTCATGAAAAGCACCTCAGAAGATTTTAAGTGAAATGATGCCTGAAATCCATATATAAAACTTTAGTTTAGAAGTGATCCATTTGTTTAGAGGTGGATCTCTGGTGGCCATGTTGTTTTTTCTGATTTACAAATTCGCAAATCTACTCTATAAAACTATTGTCACACATCCCCCACATAAGACAAACTGTTCCAAAGCTTTTCCTGGTTCTGAGGCTAAACTCCCATGGCCAATTTATACTCAGTCATAATCATCCTGACATCATCCTCTAGTTCAACAGGTTTTGCTTTGTCCTCTGTTTTTAACCCAGAGATACAGCAAATATATCATCTGTGATATATTGCAAATACAAACCTCTGAGATATTGAAAATATATATAGCAAATATATAACTTCTCTAGTTTGGCTAGAAAAGTTATGTTCAAATACTTCTCAGTACTTTGTTCACTATATGTCTTTCAGTCTACGTTCATCTTTCTTGAACACAAACAATCAGATATGTATGCAGAGCAGGTTTCACAAGTACAACATGAATGTCTTTTTAACTCTCTTGGGAAAAGGATTCATGGGAATTGCACTTGCCTTTCTCATAGTTATATCACATTGATGGCTCATAAACATCCTGTGAGCAAATGATATGCTCAGTAATTTTTCCCTCTCATTTATTTCCAAACTCGTTATTAAATTAATAATTTCCTAGTGAAACTCTTCAGTTGCTTTATGCACATTCCATTCAAGCTGAAAAACAGCTATGTTATCAAAGAAAGGCATCTGAATGGCTTGATATGGTAAACACATATTGCATATTGTTTGATTTCTCCACTTATTTTCAGGTCTATAATTAATATTTTTTTTTCAAATGCCATTTACGTACTCTTACTAATTTAACAAAAACTCAAGAATTCTTGAAAGCATACATTTCTTTTTTCACAAGATGTTTTATCTGGAAAACTGTTTATCTGGAATATATTCGTAACTCTCTGAGAAGAACAAAACAGGGGGGCATTATTTTTTCCTCACCATTGATTTCCTCCCATTTTCTCTAATTAGGAGAATTTATTTTATGATCTATATAAATGTCGCCTTTGGAAAAATATTTCTTTTGAAAAAGAAGATAGTATTCTCCTTAGGTGTAATAATGAAACAGTAATAAAAAGATGTCAGAATGTGATACCTTGTTTGTTTTCCACTTTGAGCCAGTATTAGCTCAGTGACACTTATTTTAGGTACTTATCATTAAGAATTTATAGTGTCCATTTCAAGAAGAATGATGACAGCAAATAAATGATATATTTCTCCAGATATTGGTGATTATATTAGCACTGGCAGTCATAATGCAATCTCCTGAATTGCCCTATGGGACTATGAATTATTATGAGGTTTAAGGCTAAGATATACAAACTTGTAGTTTATGGATGGTTGTCTTATAAAATCATTGTAAAATCCTCACTAGTAGAGCTTTGCATGTAACTAAACAATGATCTGCTAATTGATCTTTAGAGATCACTCTAGGTCCTACTGAAATGAATGGAAAGATTCCCATTCATTTTGCTGAGAGCTGGGTCATGCCCTTTGTGGGAAAGGAGATTAGATCAGGAATATTCATGGAAATTAATGTCAACAAAAAGATATCTAAAAATAATCTACTAGAAATGCTTATGCAAAAAGTCTGTGTAACTCACCTTGCTTTAGAGAAACTGTTTTTGACCAAAGCATATAGTAACAGCCTCATTCGCTGGAGATAAATAAGTTTAACTAAAGTAAGATCTTTCTACAAAGCTTCTGATTTCCTAGCTTAGTAGTGGCAAAGTGGATGTTTTGAGAATCAAACGAAAAAAGAATTGCATGGAGCAAGAATTATCCTCTAGCTCAATGTTTTGTGTAAGCAAGGATGGTTGTTCTTTCTTCATGTGGGGACCTTGAACTGCTACTATTTGAATCAACGAACCAAATCCCTATGGCAAGAATTTGTAATACCATTTTTCCTCTGGGTTTTGTCACAGAGAAGGACTTATATCATACATTCATCAGAGATTTAAACAATTTACATAGAAGTTTGTAAAACTGACAAATACATAAAGCCACTGAAATTTAAAATAAATATTACATATGTGGAAAGTAGAAGGAAGTAGAATATCTTTTAGAAGCTAACTCTCTGCTTCCTTCAGACCTTTTAAAGAAAACATT